GGATTCAGACAATAGACTTTTGTCCCTGGGTTCTGCATTCTATGGCAGCCCCCATCCCAACATTCCAGCCATGCTTCTGCCACCCCCAGCTTTCCCCAGCTGTGGCCACCGAGTCAATGCTCTGAGACCAGGCTGATAGCAGGTAGGGAGAGCAAGACTAACCTCCACACAGTGGGCGTATTATCCTTTGATCCTCCAAGGAGAGAATAAAGGCATGATGTTCCGGAGTAAGCCCTTTGCTTTAGTTCTGTTTCCTAAGTTGTCTCTGTCTGGGTTTTCCTGGGTACTCTCAGGGTCCCCATTTGCTTCATGGGTCCCTCTCTAAGTTCATACTTGAGTCACCTCCCCTATTTATTTGTTTGTTTAAATGCAGGCTTGTATATATGGGTGCATGTGGGCATGAAATACACGTACGTGTGTGTGTGTGTGTTCAATCTATCACTGCCACGTCCAATCTAGAATATTCTGTCCATCATTTGTCCTCGTATGAGATTAGGGTGGCCAGCAAGCTGCTCCCTTGAATTGAAAGGGTCAGAGTAAGAGTCAGAACACTTCATCCCTGAAGAAAGGAGACAAGCTGTTGCGTGGGAGGGAAAGCCAGAGATCCTGCAGCGTGGGAGTCTCCAGGAATGGTCCAGAGAGTGGTCAGTCTCCATGGTGAAGAAGCTGGAGAGAAAGAGCAAGGCTGGAATCAGAGTAGAGAGCACTCCTAGGGAGGGAACAGAGGCAGGGAAGGCGAAGGACTGGCTTTCAAGAGGCCTTCCACTGCTCAAGAGCTGGCTTGAGTCAGACCCACGAGGATGGAAGAGGGTGCTGAAGCTGAGTGGGCATATGGGTGCCCAGCTGGGACACTGCAGCATCACGTCTGGCCCAGGGTATGCGCCAAGAAGTCCTTGCTACATTGAATTGACTTCCTGGCGATTTGGCAAATTTCTCACTGTGACCCACGCTTGCTCTTGGGAATTTGTACATAGTTCATATGTAGAGTTATTTTGGAATTTATGTACTAGCCACAGATGAATACTGATGAATATAAATTTATGTCTGTGCACGTATGTATGTATACACAATGCAAAACATACATAATAGAAAACACTTGCAAGAAAACAAGGAAAGCTTCCAGAATTAAATGAGACACTATGTCTCTGAGTCTTCAGAAAACAGTCTGTAAGTTAAACATATAAGACACGGCAGGTATAAAACACGTGGAAGGTGATTAAGGTTGGATCCATTTCTGCAGTTTGCTAAAGAGTCCACTGCCAGGGATCCCTGTGGATAAGGCATCCCTGGCCCAAGTGTGTTTGGTTCAACTTGCTGGTGTTTATGGGCAGAACAGTATAACCAATGACTCCTTAGTCACCAGCACTGGGGACTGAGATGGATTTGGGGGCTCTGTTCTTTAGGACTTCCATTGCTTCTGTGATTCCTTGTCTTTAAGAAAGTCATTTCTGCTGGGCGGTAGTGGTGTCCGCCTTTAATCCCACTACTCAGGAGGCAGAGGCAAGTAGACCTCTGTGAGTTTGAGATCCACAGAGCAAGTTCCAGGAAAGGCTCCAAAAGCTTCAGCGAAATTCTGTCTTGAAAAATCAAAAAAATCAAAAAATAAAGACATTTCCCCTTTATGTCTCAGCATCCCCATGCTTGTACTGAAAGGTCACCCTAGAATAAAAGATTCTGCAGGTGTTCAGTAGCTCTCCAGGGCCTGCTAAGGTAGGGGCAAAGACAGCAGCCGTATTTCTGTTACTCATCCAGCCAGGACAACTTCACATTGGTCCATTTCAGGGCTTGCTGTCCTATGCTTGGAGAAAAGAGGTTGGTTTGCTCAAGACATTTGGCTTAGATCCTCCAGAAATAATGGTCGCCATGGATCAGTCTGGGTACCAAATATCATTGCCCTCTTACCTGGGGACCGATGTGATGGGACTTGTCACTGATGCAGCTGTTGAGTTCTGGGTTGTGAAACTGGTTGGCACTTGTGTTTGGTTTTGTATGACTACTGGGTGTAAGCCCCACCTCTGTCATTTCTTAGTTCTCTGACCCGGAAATAATTTCCTAGGCTCTCTGAGCATCTGTTTCTATAGTTTTCAATGGGGGGAAATATGAGGTTTAATCACAACATCTGTCTTGTTTCATTCTTTGTATTGTATGAAACTCAAGCACTAGCTGACAGCTGAGCAGGTCTTGAGGTCTCTAATCACTGAGGACATACCAGAATTTGTGGGTTGTTTCTCTGTGACTTGTACTTAGCAAATCACCCAGGTTAGAGCAGTAGTTTGCATTTGTTCTTCTCTGGGTACTGTTTGAGGCCCAGTTTATCCTTACCACCAATGTCTAAAAATGAAAAAGTACTTAAAATAACGTCAATTGATATAATAGATTCTCATTTCCTAAGTAAAAAAAAATAACAGGTTGGTTGAACAATGTTTAGTGATGATGGCTATACTGTTGTTCATTTGACAAGGTCTAGGATCACCCATGAGATCTATGCACGTCTGTGAGGGAGATTGCAAGACAGTTTCACTGAGGTGAGAAGTCCTACCTTGAACGTGAACAGCATCACAGTTTGGGGTAGGGTCCAGCACTGAATAACAGGGAGAAAATAGACTGAGCGTGGACATCTGTCTCTCTGCTTCCTGACTGCTGACACGATGTCACCAGCCACCTCACGTTCCTTCCCCCGTGCTATGCCTTCAGATTGTGAGCCAAAAGAGTTCATTCTCGACAAATGTTTTGTCATGGCAATGAAAAAAAAAATTAATATGGGCAAGAGTGTTGATCTTTAGGTGGACTTAACATCCTTGGGTTTGAAAAAACACATGGTTTAATGCCATCATTAGGGCTAAATGGCTTTCCTGGGTTTTCTGAGTCATCCGTAGTCCTCTTGGGTCTCTGTTGTGCAGGCTTTCCCCATCACTGCATGTGGCAGCAGCTCTGTCTGTAAGAAAATGTGGGGTGTGGCCACGGGATGGAAAGCCAATGCCGATGTCTTCTGAGGACAGTCTGGGGGACAGCAGGTCACTTGCTCCCTCCACAGTGCCTTGGAGGCATGTCACGAATGGTTTGAAAATGCCACAGGGGAGCACAGAAGTCCAGGAAATGGGTGATGGGAGTGAGAGAGAGCGACGTGGGATCTCCATCATTGAGCAACATCCTCCTCCCAACCCTGAATATGTGTCTAATTAATTTGGCATGGATTGAAACAATGGCTTGTTCCTGGATTGCAGGGTTAATGTCACGGGCCATGGGATATACAAAGGAATATTTGTGAAACTAAAAAGCAACTCCATTTGACGTGTCCATATTTAATTTTGTGTCGTCATGTAGGTAGATGAGCAATACACATTGTTTTGTAATCGGTCTTGCTCACTTAGTTCAATCTCATAGACCTCTTCCTGTGACTGTAAATGTCACCATACCTCCCTTGTTTACTTAGCCTGTTTCCAGGGCCACTGCAGTTGGGGACCATAGAAATGGCAGGCAGGGCGAGGCTCTCCTAGTGCATCCAACAGACCCAGCATCTGGGATGTTCACTACTTAGTCAGCATAAAGTCGAGATAACAGTGGGAAGGGCTGCTGTTCTAGGTCCCCACCCTCACTCAGGGTGACTCCCGGGGAGCTGTTCTGACCTCGGGTGCTGACAGCAGGCCCTTTCTTGGATCCCACATGGTCGCTCTGAGAAACAATGATGATCTAGACCCACCTTGTGGGTATCTACCCCAGAGGGGATGGTGAATCTGGGAGGAGGTGGGGGTGAGGGGTGAATATGATCAAAATATATTCTATGAACTTCTCAATGAGTTACTCAAAAATTGCTGTAAGCTGCTGACTTGAGTTTTATTAAAAATGTATTACATGTATTTCATCTTGGGTTAGGACAGGATTTCCAGCCCTTTCTGAATAACCCCAAACCACCTTGCTACATATAGCTGCTAAGCAGTGTTCTCAGTACTGATGATGAGAAAATCAAAATAATGCCCAACTCTACATTCTGCAGTGCCCAATGCTCACCTAAAACTTAGCTTTTTATGTAAAAATAAAGAATGATTCTCATTTAATAAATGGCAAAAGTGTAGAGATGCCAAAGAATGGTTTTAAAATAAAAGTCTTTATGATTTGTTGATAAACTTCCGATTTGAGTATCTATTTAAAATACCCATATACCCAAGGATATGTAAAAATTTCTTGAGTGAAAAGTGGTCATGAGGGAAAAAAATTTAAGAAGCCATAATCTGAGGTATGTTTGTGTGTGTAGGTGTGTTACTTGAGTGGCATGACAAGGGGTCAAAGGGTTCAGGGTGCCACTATAGGGTCCTCTTCTAGGAAGACTCAGGACACCTGACAGGCACCTCAGGAGCTGCACCAGGGTCTGTCTCAGGTTGTCTGTTTCGATCCTGAGTCTGTTTAGAGCATTCAGTTCTATTCGCCCACTTCCCATGTATCCTTTTTGTCTTTTCAGTGAAGAAGTCCAAGGATTTGTCTAAGCCAGAAGTCAAATTGGTCACTTAAACTAACAGTACAGCTTGTCCAAGTCCAAAAATACTATCCAGAAGAAGGCAGCAAGGAAGGGAAATTGGTCAGAGGAGCCTGACAGCATTTAACAGTGCCCTGGAACCCCTGGTCTTTGATCCCTCCTTTTCCAGACATGGGGCAGGAGCCCAGAGCTTTCTGTTTGTCTTAATTAAAGTCAGCCTCCTCCTTCCCCAGAGCCCCTCTGCCCTTCTGGGGACACAGGCTGCATTCACGGTCAGCCACTCTGCCCAGACCCTGTGCAACTTTATGAAAGGCGTTTCCCACTTGGATTGAACAGGCGCTGTGTTTGTGTGTGAGGGAGAAAATGAATCACTGTAACTTGGAGGCTAGGATCTGGGGTGTTGTGTTTGTCCCATGCAAGTACATAAACACAGCAGAACTCTCTGGAAACATTAGGGGCGGGCACAGAGACTGGAGTGATTCGGTGGCCCAAACAGTGGGGCACATTTTCCATATGCAGGACCTCTCTGGGTTTCTGCCCTCTTACGGCGTTCTCCAAGCCCACGGGAAAGGCTGAGGTTTTTTTGCATTTCTGTCTGTGGTCCGGGAAGAGGCATAGGATCCGAGGGCTCCCTCCAGTCCAGTGAAATACACACTCGCTCGCTTCACACGGAGGCCGGAGTTGGAAGCGACCGACCGTTGAGAAACGTTAAAGATTTTCTGGCAGTGGGAAAGGGATTTTTTTCCCTTCCTCCCTCCCTGCCGAGGAAAAACAGTTCTAAAGAGAGAGTCACTTTGTAGTTGTAACTCCCATTCAAAGACTCCCAGCCCGAGAAGCCGCCGATCCCCGATCCCCGTGCCTCTTGCGCGTAGTCTGTGGGAGGCTGTCACTGGTCCTCGCCGCCCTGCTCATGAGTTTGCCGAGGACCATCTTCCCCAGGAGGGAGACCGGTAAGTGCAGCCTCTTCGTCTGTCTCTGGGGACTTGAAGGGGCCTGATCTTTTTTTGGACATCTTCCGGGAGGGGTGGGAGAGCAGTTTGCCTTACTTGGTGCAGCCTGTGTTGTGACTGTGTGCACACGTGTGCTGTGAGTCTGTTTGTCCTTGTAGGGGCTGGCTGGGCTCTCACCCTCCACACACTTGACAGAGGGTTGAAGTGCATATGGGGAGGGGTGGTTGGGAGGTTGGGGGGGGCGGGGATGGATTTCCCTACGTGGTTGAACACACCTGGCTTCCTCTGTGGATGTTGCTGGTAAGAAGGAGCAGGGCCATCCGTGTTCGATGCTGGAACTGTCAGGGTCAGCAGAGCAGAGGCAGAATTTAAGTGGGGTAGGACAGTAGAACAGATGGGGGCCTCCCAAGTCTGAACTCTGAGGGTCTAGGGTACCCTCACTGGAGGCCCTGCCTTCCTGTAGGTAGGGAATGTTATGAGATGATGGCATTTCTTATGACAGCCCCCTGGGTGTGCTCCGGAAACAGACACAAACAGGCACCAGACAGACAAGGTTGATCCCTCTGCCCAGCTGCGAAAGCCGGTGAAACTTGGGTTCCACTTTAACTTTGGCAAAGAAAACGTACACATGGTTTTCTTTAAACAAGGAGAGCGAGGCAAGTCAAGAGCACAGCCTGACTTTTCCAGCTCCAAGAAGATATCGACACAACTCTTGGAGAGCTTTGGATTAGCGCCCACGAAAACCTCTGAGTTCAGAGGGAAGGCAGAAGGGCTGGCAGGCCACCACCCGACCTGAGAGGTGGGGTCTGTGGCTCCAAGAGGAGCTCGTTGGCTCAGTCTCCTCTTTTGCAATTCCTGCCTCACGGGGTAAGAGAGAAACAAGGACAGCGCTCAAGTCTGTGAATGCCTGGACACCACGGATATATGTGGTGACCGTGTCAAGTCTCAGGAGTAGCTCTTCTAGGTGGTCCAGCAACCATCACAGACACCTGGGCTCTTGGGTGAACAGCAGTAGCGGTCTTCTCTGGAGCAGAGAGCAGGCTTCTGTTCAAATAACTCTTCTTAGGAAAAGACGGCGGTTGTGTCTTTTTCCCTTAAGGAATCCGTCCCAGCAAGTGCTGACCTAGTACTTAGCCAGTACTTGGTGCTGGGTAGAACCATCTTCTCAGCCTTTATCCACTTTCTGTCTCTGGCTGTATCTCCTCTGGTGAGGGTTTCCCTGGCAACAGACTGAGGCAGAGCTGTGAGAGTGGGGAGTTACCTGCAGAGTGCTGCGGGCACAGCACCCACGAGGGTAAAGGACACGGCAGAGCAGGCAGGAGAACGGGGATAGAGTCTCAGCATGGGCTCTGGCTGGTGCAGCTGCTCCCAGAGAGCCTGGAACCCTTGCCGTTATCAGTCACTGCATGCCGGCTGCTCCTGAGGCTGGACCTCTGAGGCAAGGCAACTTCGGGGCCCAGGAAATGCTAGAAGAGTTGAGCTGGAGTCTGTCCTGAGCATCCTTTGCACGGCTGTGGGAAGGGATGTCTTAGTCGTGGGGTAAGGAGAATCTCTAAGTGACAGCTACTCAGTAAACCTGACTGAGTGCCTGCTCTCTTTTGAGTTTACTCATGCAGAAGGTGTGAGCAATATGGCCACCTGGGCAGTTGAATTCTTGCAAAGCATCGTGATCTTGAATAAGTTCCAGTCCACAGAATCCCTGAGAACAGAATGGTTAGATAGAAGAAGGGCTAGAGATGACCCCAGGAACCATTCTGGCAGTACCATTCTCCGAGAGCAGATTAGGACTGATGTGACCCTGCTGGTTGCTTGGATCTCTTCAGTCACATGGCTGCTGCTGTCTTACTTTCTCCTGTTAGAAGATAGACACCCAGACCCTTGTGGAAACCCTGCGAATGGAGCAGCTGCCAGCAGGGCGTCCGCCTGCAAGGCAAACACCAGCTCTGCCTAAGCCTGGCAGCAGGAGGGGCCGGGTCTGGAGAATTCTGCTTTTCACTTTCCCTGCCCCAGGGAAGGAGTCTGGCTGCATGAGACACTATGCATGTCTTCAACGGTTCAGAGCTTTATAATGTTCCTGGGGACAAGTGAGGATGTAGTGGGGTTTGTCTTGTTTCTCCTTCCCTGACCTCTTTATTTCCTGTTTATTTTTCTTTTTTTAGACACACTTATAATGCTCATTTCATTGAATTTTAACTTACATTATTTAAAAATACTTATGCATTGGAAAGTTGTACTAGAGAAACCAGAAAATAATAGGTATGTTGAATTGAATTAATTGGTATATTAAATAATAAAGTATAAATTTAGACTAACGTTATTGACAATAAGCAGGAATAAGTGAACATAAAAGAAACCAGAAAATAGTAGGTATGTTGAATTGAATTAATTGGTATATTAAATAATAAAGTATAAATTTAGACAAATGTCATTGACAATAAGCAGGAATAAACTGAATATAAATTATCATGAGAGAAATGCATTGGACTTCAGGCTTTCTTACACATGTAAATTTTAATTGGTATTAACTTTGAAAACTAGTATAAAGCGCGATGGGTTTTATTGTGCGCTTTCATATGTGTGTCATTAGGTCTTGTTCTAATTCATGCCCCTCATTCAATTTACTTTTCCATACACAAAGAGTGAAATCACTTTCTTAAACACTTGGGATTCATTTGCCACACATTGTTTGCCCAGAGCATCCTGTGCTCCAGGCACTGTGCTGGGTGCTAGTGAGCTAACAGTACATGTTAAATAAACAACAGACTCAAAGCATGAAGCTAAAGGCCTTCAAAAGGCACTTGTTGGGGAAGCCAACCTAATCTGCTGGGTCAGAATGGGCTTCTGTGAGGAAGTCTTATTTGAGTTGTTTTCCCCCAGGCTGTGTGGGTGTCAGTCAGGGGCAGGTCTGTTGTGGTGAGGTGGTGCATTGTCAGGAGACAGTTTGTTTAAGATGATGAGGTGGGAGGGTCAAGAGTTTGAGACCAGCTTATGCTATACTTTTTAAAATTCATGTTGTGTACACCTGTAATCCCAGTACTTGGGGGACTGAGGCAGGAGGATTGCTGTGAGTTTGAGGATAGCCTGGGCTACTAAGTGAGTTCAAGGTCGGCGAGGGCTAGATAGGGAGAACCCATCTGAGAAACAGCATCACCATCACCACGCGGGTCAGGACAGGGGTGGAAATGCAGGCCGTAGGCAAAGGGGACCGAGGGAAGACAGTGGCCTCAGACCTCTTCCCTGAACCCACTATAAGGAAGGATGGTCTTGCTGGTGGGACAAGATTGTCCCTGTCATCAGCCAACTGGTTTTGTCCCTGGTTCCAAGTGTGCGTATTATCATGAGGCCTCCCTGTGCCTCCCTGTGCCCTCTGTAAGGTCAGTCTCTCTTCCTCCTCCAGAGTGCGTTCAGCAGAAACGACTAGCCAGGGCCTCCCTGAGCAGGGTTCACCATACTCCCCCGCATGAGGGGGCAGGGTGCTTGTTTCCTTTTGACAAGGGAGCTGAATGCAGCGCTGGGGTTTTCAGCAAATGGCATGGAGGTAGGACCAGGACTAAATCCTGGTTAGTGTGTCCCATGTATTGAAAGTCATGTATTGGTGTGCCACACTATTGCTGGAAAATAACATTCACACACAGGCGTGAGCATGTGCACATACGCATGTGCACACATGGGACATACACACTCATGCATGCACGCACACACATGTGCACACACACAGATTTTCCACGGTGCTTCCACTTGACATTAGGTCTGGATAACTCCTTATTCCTAAAGGTACTAGGACCTCAACCTTGACAGACTGCCATAGTCTGTGCCCGGGGCTATTTTACTCTTTTCTGTATTGATGCTTCAGCTTGTTTTTCAATTTTGTGTTTTCCAAAACAGCTGGAGAAAGGGTTTCAAGCCCACAGAGAGGCAGAAGCCACTGCACTGCTTAGTCAGTGTTCAGTTGCTGTGAGGGGACACTATGGCCATGGCAACTCATATAAGAGAAAGCATTTGACTGAGGGCTGGCTTATGGTTTTGGAGGTTTAGTCCATTAGCATCAGGGAGGGGAGCCTGGCGGTGTGCAGGCAGGTGCCATAGCTGTAGCTGAGAGAGATATAATTGGTGTGGCATGGGCTTTTGGACCCTCAAAGCCCATGGGTCACGCTTCCGCCAACAAGTCCACACTTCCTAATCCTTTGAAATAGTGTTACTCCCCGGTGAGCAGATCTATGAGCCTATGGGGCTGTTTTCATTCATGCCTCCACACTGGCCACACCGGCATCCGTCCGCTACATTTGATTTGATCGTCTTTCCCTCTTTGAATCTGCCAATCTCTTAGTCTTCCTCTCCTTCCATGCTCCATCTTTTCGGTGTAATTGCATATGTATCAGGTATCACTAAACCCCAGAATGGATAGAGCTACCTTAATATTTGCCAATTTACAGACGGTGAAATAACACAAATCTTTAAACAAGATTTATTTATTTATTTTGATGTGCATTGGTGTTTTGCCCGCATGTATGTCCCAGTGAGGTGCCAGAACCCCTGGAACTGGAGCCACAGACAGTTGTGGGCTGTCATGTGGGTGCTGGGGATTGAACCTCTGTCCTCTGGAAGAGCAGTTGGTACCCTTTCTTAACTGTTGAGCCATCTCTCCATCCCTGAAGCACATAAATCTTTAGCTAATATGTAGGGGACTTTGAGAAGTGCAGGTACTGGTGTGAGGCACACTATTAGGGAATACTGGACCGGAGATGCAGCTCCATTGGGAGAGTGCCCCTCCAGCATGCACAAGGCTCTAGGTTCGATTCCCCATACTCCCTAAAGTAGGTATGGCGGTGCAGTCCTGTAATTCTGGCACTTGGGAGGTGGATGCAGAAAGATAAATCTACTGCCATCCTTGGATACATTGTGAATTTGAAGATAGATTGGGCTACATGAGACCCTAGCCACCTCCTAACCCCCCCAAAAAGTCACTACACCAGAAAGTTCTTTTATGTAGTTTCAATTTG